CTATAGCTAAGGTCAGAGAAGGGCTTGCCCGCTACAAACGGGAATATGAACAGCAAGCAGGTTGGTTTGAGTCTTGGTTTAACAGTTCCCCCTGGTTAACAACGCTACTATCCACCCTACTAGGCCCACTCATTATGCTAACTTTAGTCCTTACTTTTGCGCCATGTGTAATTAATAGACTAGTAGCTTTTGTGAAATAACGGATAAACACTGTCCAGCTACTAGTATTGCAACAGCATCAGCAGCTACGGTCAAGTGCTATAGAACTAGAGCACCTAAGAGATCTGAGGACGAGCAGGAGTGCTGTCTGCTACCTAGAGAAAGGGGAATGTAGGGCAGAGGAAGGGCAGAGAATTTGTAGGACAGAGGAAGGCAGAGAAATTCTTCCAATTGTCGGGAATTTACTTGGGTGGGGCAATGAGCTAACCGCAAACTTTTGCTTCTGGTCATTGCTTGCTTGCTACACCGCTGTATGGGGAATTATGGGATGAGGTCATTGAGACGGGCGACTGGCCCACAGAGGGCAACCAACCGCCAATTATTTCAAAAGGCAATAGTGGGCAGCCAATCATTTAAAGGTCAACGCATGATCCATGCGTAGTCAGCTTGTGCGCAGCTTGTGCACCATGGGGATAAAAGGCATGCCGTTGTTCCGGTTGGGGTCCTTACCTGCGAGAGTGGCCACTGTGTTGGTGTTCTGGGGCCTGGACCCTGGCTAGCCAGAAAATAAACCTCCTCTTGTGTGATTGCAAAAAAAAAAAAAAAAAAAAAAAAAGATTTATGGTTTTTGGAATTGGAGGTGGGAAGCACTGTCTGAGAAAGGATATAGGATATGTTTTGGGGTGATAAAAATGTTCTGTATCTTGATTTTGGTGGTGGCTATATAGGTGTAAAATCTGTTGAAATTATAAATGTAAAGCTAAACTGGGTACAACTTGCTGTATATAAAGTATGTCCCAATAAAGATAATAAAAACCGATTTGATGCAGCTAAATAAGTACTTAGAAATATATAGTGTTAAATACAAATATTAGCAAAAAAGAAATGTTGAAATCAATTATTTAAGATCTCATCCCAAGAACTAGAAAAATGGTAAATTAGGCCAGTGTGGTGGCTCATGCCTTATCCTAGCACTCTTGGAGGCTAAGGCAAACTCCTGAGATCATTTGACCTCAGGAATTCGAGACCAGGCTGAGCAACACTGAGACCCCATCTCTAATGAAAAAAATAGAAAGAAATTAGCCAGGACTAAATTAGCCAGCAACTAAAAACAGAAAAAAAATTAGCCGGACATTGTGGCACACACCTATAGTCCCAGCTACTGGGGAGGCTGAGGCAGGAGGATTGCTTGAGCCCAGGAGTTTTGCTGTGGGCTAGGCTAACGCCATAGCACTCTAGCCCGGGCAACAGAGTGAGACTCTGTCTCAAAAACAAAGCAAAACAAAACAAAACAGTAAATCATATTCAAATAAAGTACATAGAAGGAAATAAAGTACATAGAAGGAAATAAAAGATCATGAATCAAGGAAAAAGAAATTAGCTGTATAATTCAGAGGTGGGTTTTTTAACAAAAAGATTAACAAAATGTTAAATCCCTAGAAAGCTTAATCAAGAAAACAAAGAGAGTGCACAAATTAACAATATCAGGACTGAAAAAGAGAACATCACTTTAGATTCCATAGATATTAAAAATACGACAAGCATATATTATGAACTATTTAAAGCCAATAGTTAGATATTTTGATGAAATGATATAGACATCCCAAAACTTACACACAAGATAGAAAATATGAATAATTCCGTGTTTATCAGAGCAACTGAATTCATAATTTAAAACTGCCCTACAAAGAAAATGCCTGGCCCAGATGGCTTCACTGGTGACTTTTACAGAAAGTATTTATAGTAAAAATAATACCAATACCAATAATACCAATCTCATAGTCTTCCAGAGGACCAAAACTAAACAAACACAAAACAACAACAACAAAACAACAAAAAAGGAATTCTCAATTCATTTTGCAAGCCCACCATATCCTTGATATAAAGCCCCAAAAGGCCACTACAAGAAAGAAAACATATAAGAGAATGGAGAAAGACATAAAATTTTACATAAAATTTTGACAAATTTAATTCAATAATACATTAAAAAGATAATACATAATGACCAAATGGAATATATTCCAGGAATGCAAAGTTTCTTTAATATTCAAAAATTGAAGACATACTAAGTGAAATAGGATAGTGACAAAAGGACAAATACCATATGATTACACTTACATGAAGTACTTAGAGCAGTCAAATTCATAGAAACAGAAAGTAGGATGGTGGTTTTCAGGGGTTAGAGGGTACTAAATAAATTTATTGTTTAATGGGTATTGTTTAATGGAGAATTATTGCTTAATGGATATTGTTTCAGCTTTGCAAGATGAAAAGAGTTTGGAGATGGATGGCTGCACAATATGACTTAATACCCCTGAACTGTACACATAATACTGGTTTAGATGATAAATTTACATTATGTTTATTTTACCACAATTTATAAAAGTGTTTTCAATCAGTCCATATAATTCAAACACATTAACAGAATGAGAAAAACAATGGTGATCTCGATAGTTGCAAAAAATATATTTGATGAAATTCAACACCTGTCCATAATAATGAATCTCAGAAAGCTAGGATTTGAGAACTTTCTTAATCTTATATAAATTATCTAAAATGTATACCTCTTATCATACCTAATGGTAAAATTTTTAGTTTTCCTTTTAGATTCTGGGGAAAAGGCAAGGATGTCTACAATCTCTACTTCTGGAGGTCCTAGCCAGTGCAATGAAGCAAGAAAAAAAATGGTATAAAGATTAAAAGGATAAAGTAAAACTGGTTTTACTTTACCACAGATAACATATTATGTACATCAAAAATTCAAAAGAATGAACAAACTATTATGAATAAGTGAAATTAGCAAGGTCACTGGATATAAGCTTAGGTTTTAAAAAATCTATTATATATACACATATATGAGATATATTATATACCTATATTGTGGCAACAATCAGAAAATGAAATTAAAACAATAGCATTTATAATGCCAGCATCAAATACATAGTACTAATCTATTAACATGTATATAATTGAAACAATACAATAACAACACTTCTACACTTTAAAAAACAAAAAATGTAAAACTTCTACATTGCAAAAATACAAAAATTGCTAAAATTAAAATATTTATATAAATGACAATGTTTGGCATGTTCATAGTTTGAATGTCTTAATATTGGTAAGGCCTTCATTCTTCCAAAATTAATCTAAGTATTTGATGTAATGCCAACAAAATACCAGCTTTTTGGTGTGGGGTAATTGAAAAAAATCATTCATCAATGTATATAAAATGCCAAGGACCTGGAATAGCAGTGATGATTTCAAACAAGAACAAAATTAGAAAACATACACAGTTGACCCTTGAACAACACAAGTCTGAACTGGGTGGGCCCACTTATACGTGAATTTTATCCCACCTTTGCCACCTCTGAAACAGCAAGACCAACCCCTCCTCTTTCTGCTCCTTTAGTCTATTAATGTGAAGATGAGGATTAAGACCTTTATGATGATCCACTTCCACTTAATGAATAGTAAACATATTTTGTCCTCCTTATAATTTTCTTTTTGCTAGCTTAGTTTATTGTAAGAGTACAGTATATGTAACATATATAATAAATATAATATACAAAATATGTATTAGATGACTGTTCGTGTTATTGGGAAGGTTTCTGCTCAACACTAGGATATTAGTAGTTTAGTCTTGGGGGAGTCAAACATTACATATGGATTTTTGACTGAGTAAGAGGTCAGTGTTCCTAAGTTCTGCATTGTTCAAGGGTTTCAATTGTACTGCCAGTTTTCATTAAGAACATTTGGTATTAATACAATATAAAGAAACAGAACAATAAAACAGAATTGATAGTCCAGAAGACTCTCACACATATGATCATCTGATTTATCATAAATGTTCTATTGCAATACAAGGGAAAGAGGGAAGTTGACCTTTTCAATAAATGATGTTGAATACGTTTTTTATTTGTAATGAAAAATATTCATTTTGACCTCTACACTATATCATACATAAACATTAATTTCAGATGAATGATAGATAAAAAAGTGAAAAGTAAAACAGGAGATATGTAAAACAAAAGGTAGAAAACTATCTTCATCACCTTGAGTTACGAAAATATTTCTTAAACCAGGCAAGAAGAGCACTAATCATAAAAGAAAAGGTAAATATTCCTCATCAAAATGAACAACTTCTGTTCATCAAAGGACATCATTTAGAGAGCAAAAAGGCGAGCTGCAGATGAGATCATATTATAATACACACATCTAAAATATATCTTGTATTCAGAATATATAAAGAATCCTACAAATGAACAAAAAGTCAAGAGTTCCCAATAAAAAAACAGGCAAAAGTCTTGAACAGATACTTTTCAAAAGAAGATATTCACAAAGCCAATACATATCTAAACGGGGGCTCAACATCATTATTCACTGAGGAAATGCAAATTAAACTCCTAATGAGATGTCAGTATACAAAGAACCAGGCTTTGGCACCTTGCCATTCCACTGAAACTGCTGGAGTTGAGTCGGCCTGTGTCATCCCCAGCTCCTAATCCAATGGACACTTTTCAGTTCTTATGTCATTTGAACCTGCTGACCATGCTCCTCTATTTGCTTGTCTCTAAGGCTGTGATGTAAGGCAGGGTTGAGGTGTGGTGAGGATTAGGAGGTGGAAAGGAGCAACCAACAGACTTGGTATCATGATGTAACAACTGCTTGATACAAGGGCTTCTTAAGGATAGTATCTCAGGGTCTGACTCTCAAACGTTTCAGTCAGAAAGTGGTACATTAAAATATCTTCAATGAAGATAAGTCTTGGCTGGGTGCAGTGGCTCATGACTGTAATCCCAGTGCTTGGGGAGGCTGAAGTGGGAGGATCGCTTGAGGCCAGGAGTTTGAGACCAGCCTGGATAATATAGTGAGACTCTGACTCTGAAAAATAAAAAAAATTAGCCAGGCATGGTGGGATGCACTTCTAGTGTCCTAGCTAGGATTGACTGAGCCCAGGAGTTGGAGGCTAATAAATTTCACTATTATAATAAAATCCAATCAGAAATTATCACTTTAACTACAATGTTAAATTATTCATTTATAATGGGAGACAGTTCATATCATTTCATCCAATATCCTCTTCCCAATATTAAGTACATATTTACCCTGGCATTGTGGGAGGGATTTTTGATCTTTTCTTAGGCTCTATCAAATGTAGCTTACCATGCCTTGTCCTTTTTGGATATCCAGTCCATGGCCTGTTAGGGCCTTCTGGTATCAGGCCACAGCCTCTGGGTTCCCATTTTGAATATAGGCCTCTCCTAGTTGGAATATTCCCTAGTATTCCCAGAACTTCCAAGCCCTCATTTACAGACTTGGGAGTTATTGGCTGTTTCCTCTCTGTATACTTCATCATGCAAAGGTCGGAAGCTGTACACAGACCCTTCTGCAAATTCACCATCTTTTGCCATTATGACCTTTCCTTTGGTGCCATGTTGAAAGTGAGACTAGTTTCTGAGCCTTGTCTGGTCTAAAGCCTGGACGTGAGTTCCAGATATTCTTCAATCTATTTTCATCTATCTTTAATTTCCATCACCTTCTACAAATGAAACCCATGGGTGATAGGATTAAGGTGCTTAGTAACTTTTTTGGAATTTAGGTGACATCAGAACCAATTCCCATACTCTCAGGTGCATGAACAGCTCTCCCCCACCAATGTGTATCCAGCAGCTAGGGTAGGTTCCTGCACATAGTAGGTGTCCAATAAATTAGCTTCACAACAAAAAAGGTTTTTCCTATTTATGTAAATATTATATATGCACTGTATAGAAAAACTTAAAAATACAGAAAAAGAAAGTCAAACAAATAAAAAACAATGGATACTCCACCAACACTGAAACAACCACCAGTAAATTTTTAGAGACCAGCCCTTCATTTGTCTCTCTCAAAATTTCATATAAATACATAATATTACATTCACAGCTTTATATTAACATGGTGCATTTACATTTTTCTATTTTTACAATCACTCCCCCCTTATCTCTACTTCTTTTCTCACTTCTCTCAAGGTAATAAATATTAACAGCCTGGTATATATTCTTCCATACCTACCTCCATGTGCTAATCACATAAATATTTAAAATACATAATAACCGTGTGATTATTTTAACAAAAATGGAATATTGTATATATACATTTCTGTTATAAAGCATTATTTATCAAAACATCGTGGAAATACACTAAAGCCAGCTAGTATAGATATAGATATAACCCATATTTAAAATTACTCTCACATAGTTCCATAATATGGATATATCATAATTTATCCAACCATTCCCATATTCATAGGCATTCATTTTGTATCCAGTTGGGCCTTTCCCCCATACTACAAACAATATTTCATTAAACATGCTTATTTATTTATATTCTTATGAATTAATGCTGCTTTTATTTCTATGGGACAGATTCCCAAAAGTGAGACTGCTGGGTCTAAGGGTATATACATATATATATATATAGTTAACATTTTAAATATATATTGCTGGATTGCTGGTGGAAATATAAGTTATACAATCTTTAAGTAAGAGTAAATGATTTACCAAACCTCAATAGCAAAAGATCTCTTAATTTCTGCCAACTCCATCAAGTGGACATTTCATCTAATTAGTCATTTTAATTTGCATTTCCCTGGTAATATTTAGATTCAAAATCCTTTTGTAGGTTAACAGTCATTTGAAGTTGCTCTTCTACAGATAATCATTCAGTCCAGAGGGATTAAAGACTTGAATGTAAAAAATAAAATTATCAAAATCTTAGAAACAAATTTAGAGTACCTAGGGGTTAAGGAGACCTCTTTCAATTCAAATGAGCAAATCAAGAATCTAAAAAGGAAAAGATATAAATATTTTACTATAAAAATAAAAATGTGGCTTTATTAAAAAACAATGACAAATGCTGGATTAAGAAAAATATTTGCCACACAAATAACAAAGGATTAGTATTTAAAATATATAAAAAGTATGCCTGGGTTTATAAGAAAAGGCAAATAAACCAACAAAAAATAGGCAAATATATATAAATAGGCAATTAATTGAAAATACTTTGAAGAATAGTAAAGTATGGCATCTGAATGAAGGCTTCCATTTGTCCATTATTTTTCTCTAGTGGGAATTTTCTTATAACTTCTAAGATTTAATATGCTTAAATGCTTTCCACATTCATTATGTTTATAGAGTGTCTCTTTAATGTATATTTTCTGTGAATTTTCAATTAAGTTTTCCCACATTCATAAAATATAGCTTATAAAATTCATCTTGTGGCACTGACATCTGGATGAATGACTTATTGTTCTCTATGTTAACTGAGTTTCTCTCTGATGTATTTTTTGATGTACAGTAAGGCTTGAACTACTCCTGAAGGCTTTTCCACATTCATTACATTTATAAGGTTTTTCTCCAGTATGCATCCTCAGGTGTACAGTAAAGTCAGAGTTTGTTCTGAAGGTTTTTCCACATTCTTCACATTTATAGGGCCTCTCTCCGGTATGAATTCTCTGATGTAGAGTTAGCTGTGATAGGGTAATACAACCTTTTCCACATTCCTTACAGGTATAGGGTTTTTCTCCAGTATGTGTTCTCCAATGCACTGTAAGGTATGAACCCCTCCTGAAGGCTTTTCCACAGACATCACACTTATAGGGCTTCTCTCCACTATGGATTTTCTGATGTTCTGTGACATGCACCATCTGGCTAAATGCTTTCCCACAGTCATTACATTTAAATGGTCTCTCTCCAGTATGTGTTCTCTGATGGGTATTAAAGCCTGAGTTACTTGTGAAAACCTTTCCACATTCATTACATTTATAGGGTTTCTCTCCAGTATGCCTTCGTTGATGCACAGTAAGCTGTGATGTATTAGTGAAGGCTTTCTCACATTCATTACATTTATAGGGTTTTTCTCCAGTATGTGTCCTTTGATGTACAATAAGGTATGACTTAGTCCTGAAAGATTTTCCACAATCATAACATTTATAGGGTTTCACTCCAGTATGAATTTTCTGATGCTCCTTGAGATTAACCATTTTGGTGAATGCCCTCTCACAGTCGGTACATTTATATGGTTTCTCTCCAGTATGAATCCTCTGATGTACGGTTAAGTGTGATTTTATTCTGAATGATTCCCCACATTCGTTACATAGATAAGGTTTCTCTTCAGTATGAATACGCTGATGTATAATTAGAGAAGAAGAACGCATGAAGGCCTTTCCACATTCATTACATTTATAAGGTTTCTCTCCTGTATGCATTCTGTGGTGGACAGTAAGGCATGAATAATTAATGAATGCTTTCCCACATTCATTACATTTATAGGGTTTTTCCCCTGTATGAATTCTCTGATGTTCTGTGAAATTTGCTATGCGGTTGAATGCTTTCCCACATTCACTACATTCATAGGGTTTTTCCCCAGTATGAGTTCTTATATGTACAATAAGGCTTGAATTACTTCTGTAGGCTTTTCCACATTCGTTACATCTAAAAGGTTTCTCTCCAGTATGAATTCTCTGATGAACATTAAAAATTGTGGTATTCTTAAAAGATTTCCCACACTCATTGCATTTATATGGTTTCTCTTCGGTATGGGTCTTCTGATGTACACTAAGATATGACTTATTCCTAAAGGCTTTCCCACAATCATTACATTTGTAGGGTTTCTCACCATTGTGAGTTTCCTGATGTCTTGTAAGTTTTGATTTGTCACTAAAAGCTTTCCCGCAGTCACTACATTTATATGGTTTCTCTCCAGTTTGAATTCTCTGGTGCTGATTAAGACGGGCACACTGGCTAAATGATTTTCCACAGACATTGCATTGATAAGGTTTCTCTTTAGTATGGATTCTCTGATGTACCATAAGTGATGAAGAAGCAATGAAGGCCTTTCCACATTCATTACATTTATAAGGTTTTTCTCCAGTGTGAATTTTTTTATGCTGACTGAGATATGAAAGCTGGCTGAATGTTTTCCCACATTCATTACACTCATAAGGTTTTTCTTTAGTGTGAGTTCTTTGATGTTGAATGACTAATGACCTATAACGAAAGGCCTTTCCACATGTACTACATTCATAGGGTTTTTCTTTATTATTAGACTTTTTCCCCAAAGTAAGTTCTGAAGTTTGCCTTATGGCTTTGCTACCTTGTGTAACCTTGCAAATTATCTTCCCTAAATGGGTATTTGTAATCAAATCTAAATTCTCTGGGAAATTTTCCTCATGTGTTTGGCATTTGTTGTGGGACTCTTCTGTGATAACTGCTGGTTCTGGAATAAGATCAGATCCAAATTTAAAATCTCTTTGATCAGTGGGAGTTTTCTTGTGTGTAATTATTCTTTGACTCAAATGACTCTCCTGACTATTTTGCAATCTTAATATCCTGTCATTCAATTTCCATAATCCTCCCATTCTAGAATCCCACAGACCACTCTCTGTGAGTTTCCCTACTATGGCCTCCTGTGATAAATCTTCAGGAATATCATCTGTTAGTGTAGCACTCTTGGTTGCAGGTTTGGTCTCCAAGTCTAGGAGATAAAAAGAGAAAAATCAAATAATTCCTTTCCTAAGCTGAAGAAATCTCACTAAACAGGGTAATAAAAGTGAAAAATGGGATGATAATATATAGTTCAAACTAATTTTTTTTTCTAGGAAGAAGAAGGTAGGATTAAAGGAGGCTAGCTGAGCAAGAACCAAAATGGCAAATTCAATTAGATTTTCTCCTATTAAAAACATTCATTCATGGTAACCATCCTAGAATCTAAGTCTCTCAAATATTTCTTCCTCTTCTCATTTACTTTAGAGTCAACTTCTTTAGAGAGTATTCTTCATAAACTGTCACACTTCCTTGCTGCCCATTTACTCCACAAACCAGACATTTGTCCCTAATCATACTTTCTGTCTATTTGTTCTCATTCTTGATTGACTAGCATTGTTGTAAGGGCTTTCTTAAATTTCTCTGGAAGAACAATTTATTCAAATCTTTGTATATACCTTATAACAAACCTTTTGTAGAAGAAAACACTTTGATTTTCAAAAAGTGAGTTGAACATCAAACTAGTCAAAAATTAATATTTATACTTACTGATATTTTAAATAGTGACAATTACTTAATCAAGGGTAGCTTTTGCAACTTTTTTATGGACCCTAAAAAAATTTCTGACAATTTGTCAAAAATTCATTAAAAAAATTCTACTGCGGGTTACTGGTCTTACAACTTGTTTGTATGTGATATATATATCACAAATATATATGTGATATATATGTGATCACATATATATGATATATATATCTTATATATATATATACATATGGAGAGAGAAAGAGAGAGAGAGAGGGAGACAGATGTTGATTGAGGGTCTCAGTCTGTTGCCTGGGCTAGGGTGCAGTGGAGTCATCATAGCTCACTGCAACTTCAAACTCCTGGGCTTAAGTGATCCTTCTGCCTCAGCCTCCTGCGTAGCTGGGACTACAGGCATGCACCACCACACTTGGCTAATTTGTCTATTTTTTTTGTAGAGATAGGGTCTTGCTCTGTTGCCCAGGTTGTTCTTGAACTCCTGGCCTCAAGTGATACTCCTACCTTGGCTTCCCAAGGTGTTCAGATTATAGGCATGAACCATCACACCAAACCTTGCAATTTAATATTTTCTATGTCACTTTTATACTTTAAAACATTTTTAATTCACTTGAAGGTAATCATATCTAAATGTTTAAAAGCAAATTTAATAAAAAACTTTTCTGGTAGTGGAATCATTTTATAACTTTAAAACTCACTTTTTAAATAATTAATTTTGTTTAAGTTATTTTGCCTATATGAAATTTAAATTAATTTTCTTTCATGCTGTTGCTTTTATTTTTTATCAGTTTTTCTTTTACCTTTCAATAGTTTTAATTAATTTGAGTATGTTTTTTTGTTGTCCTAGGACATTATATTGCCAATATCTGACAAAAATTTTTTTCTTTCAGAATAAAAGCTATAGAAAACACATCTATAACACCAACTTGGGATTAAGGAACTAATAATAAAAGGTCAAAAGAATATAAATTTGTAAAGCAGGCAAAGTTGCTATAAAATTTACTAAAAGTATACAAGGTTAGGGTGAAAAAAGGTTATTATATTAGCAACTAGAAATTTTCTTCAAAAAATTTACTTGCAGAAACTTCATTAATATGTATAAGCTAAATCCTCATCTTTCTTGAGTGAAAGCAAAATGTCACTCCCAAACAACAACAATAAAAAAATAATAAAAACTTTTACATTTGAGAGAGATGTACTTTGGTAATGTCAGACTAGGTAATTTGGACCAACATTATTGCTGATAACAATTAGGAAATCTGCATAAAAAAGAGAAACAAAGTCTGTTTGAAAGCATCTAAAAGCTAGAAAGACTTAAAGAATTACAATGAGAAGAATGAAACCCAGAAAGTGAGATCCTACCATCTAGTTTTATATAGCCAGTGAGATAAGAAAAATTTTAAATTTTTAAGTGGTTGAAAAATGTATCAAAAGAATGATATAATGTGACATATTAAAATTATATGAAATTCAAATTTCAGAGTCCATAAATGAAGTTTTAGTGGAACACAACCATACTCACTGGTTAACATATTGCTTATGAATGTTTTTGTGTTACAGTGGCAGAATGGAGAGTTGCAACAGAGACCTATGACCCCACAAAGCCTAACATATTTGCTGCCTTGCTTTTCACATTAAAAGTTTGCTGGCTCCTACGTTAGATGGATGGTTCACTTCTCAACAGATTCTATGTAAGGCAGAAAAAAATGAAATGATATCTTCAAAATTTTATTAAATTCTTTATTAAAAGGATTTGTTCTGTAAAGTTTGGATTCAGTCAAAAGACTGCACTCAAGGATCCAGAAAACCACATGTGGCCCCAAGACTGCAGGTTCCCCACCCCAAAGTCTTACGCAAAATATTCTCCAAAAATGAAGGTCAAAATAAAGATGTCTTAGGCAAAAAAGAGAGAAAAAAATATGGCACAAACATATCTGAATAAAAGGAAATATTAAAGGCTGTTCATTAGGCAGAAGAAAAATATCTTAGATATAAGCTTAGCAATGAAAAAATATGAAGAGAAAGGAAAGGTTAAAATTTGAGTGAGTTTAATGTACTGACTACCACACGAGGAAAATAAAATTTTTCCCTGGGGCCACAGCGTTTTATTAAAACAAAACAATTCTTTCTAATTTATTATTTTTGATTGTTTCTGTGAGTGAGTTATATGCCACAGAATTTATGTTTTTAGAATTAAATTGTCAATATTAATTGTAATAATAAGAACATCAACAAGTAAGATTTTCATGAACCAACTGCAGGATTTTGCTTCATGCAGCCCCGGGCTCAAAACTAGCCTGAGTTAAATACAACTCACATGGTAGTCAATGTGTTAAATGAATATGTAATCTGACATATATAGAATTAAAATATATAACTTCAAAAAGATAAGTGAGGTTAAATGGAATAAGCTGTTTTACAGTCCTTATATTGTTTGTGAAGAAGGAAAAACCTGTATTAGACATTGAATCAAGGATGCATGCTTTAATCTCAGTATTAACCACTGAAAAAATAACTTAAAATGTTGTAATTACCAAATTATTAGAGGCAGAAAATAGAACAATAAAAGGTGATAAATCCAAAGGAAGGCATGAATGAGGAGAAAAAGAACAAAGGACAGGCAAAACACTTTCACAGCTAAATGACAGAGCTAAAGATTATGTAAATGTATTACAAACAAATGGAGTGAACACTCCAAAAGACACAAACTGTCAGATTGGTTAAAAAAAATTAACAGTATGCTACTTATAAAAGAAACACATAAAATACAAAGATACATAGAAGGTGAAAGTGAATAAGTGAAAGAAGCTATACAAACAACAATCAAAGGAAGGATCCTACAGTACTAATATCAGGCAAAATAGAATTCAATGCAAAAACCATTAACATGTAAGACACTTCATGATGACAAAAGGTCCAATTTACCAGAAAGATATAATAACTCTAATTTTGCATTTAGCTAATAATATAGCTTCAAAATACATAAAGAAAAAAGTTAAGTGAACTAAAATAAGAAACAAATTCACAGTCTCACTAGCAGACTTAAAAAAAATCTTTCTCAACTGAGAGAATAAGCTTTTGTACACAGACTTTAGCAACATAATTAACATACTAACCTCTTGATATATCTAGAACACTGTACTCAATATCTAGACTATACATTTTTCCAAGGGCACTCAAAATGTTTATAGAAATTTATCATTTGGTAAATAAAGCAAGTTTTTAAAGAAATCTGCAAAGCCTGAAAAAATACAGAGCACGTTTTCTGACCACAGTAGGATTAAAGACAACAAGATTACTAGAAAATTCCTAAGTGGCCCAAAATTAAGAAAAAAACTTCTAAATAACCCAAGGGTCAAAGATAACACAATAAAAATTATTAAATATTTTAAACTAAAAAATTATGAAGATGACACATAAAAAGTGTGATATAGTCCTGACAGCTCTAAATAACCAGAAAAGAAGAATGGCCAAGAATCGATGGTATAAGTATCTAATTCAAGAAGTCAGAAAAAAAGATCCACAAATTAAACTCTAAGAAGGTAAGAAAATGAAATGATAAAGAGCAGAAAGTAATAAATCAGAGATCAAATATATAAGAAAAACAATTTAAAATGGTTCTTTAAAAGCCAAATGATATTGATTAACCCAAGACTGATTGAGACAAAAAAGAAAGAGGACACAAAAAATCAGTATCAGAAATGAAAAGTGACACATCACTTCAGATCCATATAAACATTTAAAAGATAAACAGGGGACAATATGCCAATACAATTAAAATTTAGATTAAATCGAGCAATTCCTAAGTAAACATAATTCATTCGGCTGAAAATTATAAATAGCAAATATGAATAGTCCTATAAGTAGTAAATATATAGAAGCTGTAATTAAACACTTTTCACAATAAAAGCTTGAGGCCCAGATGGCTTCCTGGTGAATTCCGTGCCCCATAAGAAATATCGCTTTCCCCTCTCTCACAACTCTCTTTCCTCACTATATGCTGATGACCTTGCCTCGCATTTTAGAAAATATGGAAGCTATCACAATAGATGCCTCGATCTTCCCACCACCAGTGGACCTACACATGCACCCATCTTCTCCATCGTTCCCAGTGTTACAACACAGGAGGAGAACTCTCTGCAAATTAAAGGTAAATTCTTCCTTTCCATTCTAGATTTCATCTCCTTCAAGCTCCACAAACACTTTAGTCCTTCAGTGATTCTCTTTGTCTGGCAACATCAATTTCTCCCTCTCTTTTGAGATAATCCTGTCAGCACTCACATATGCCATAGAAACTTCCATCTCAAAAATAAAATGAGTATTTTTCTTTTTCTTCCATTAAAATTTTTTTTTTTAAGAGATGAGGTCTTGTTCTGTCACCTAGGCTGGAGTGCAGGAGCAGGATCATGATTATAGCTCGCTGCAGCCTTGAACTCTTGGGCTCAAGAGATCCTCCCCACAACCTCCCACAAGCCCAGCCTCAGCCTCCCAAGTAGCTGAGACTGTAGGCATGTGCCGCCACACCTGGCTGAGTGTCCTTGACTCCATTCTTTCCTCTAGCTGCTTCCCTATTTCTCTCTTCCTCTTCCCAGGGGGAAAAATCCCTTTTCTAAAGGGTTGTTTAAAACTATCTCCAATGTCTACCTTTCACTTACTCTTTTAAGTATATATACTAGTTGTGGATGGCATCATAATAAAATGAATACTCAAATGAACTAGATTCTATTTATTTCTTTCCATCTCCACTACCATCACCCTAATCAAAGTTACTGTCATCTCTTGCCTAGACTATTGTAACTTTACCTTACTGCCTGCTTTATGCACCCTGAAGCTCAATCTCTATAAATAGGGTTATTTTCTAAAAATCCTTAATTAAATCTTTCCATGCTTTTGCCCTCACTTACATCATCTACAAGGCCCTGCATGGCAGGCTCCTAACTCTAATCTTACTTTGTACCAGCTTCCCCTCACTTCTGTCACAACAGCTTCCTTTGATTTCCGGAACACATGACATACTTTTCTGTATCAGACCCTTGGCATTGCTGTGCCCTCCGCCTGGAATGCTGCTCTTCTCCTCTGGCCTCTGCTGGCTTCTTCTGACCTGTCAGGCCTCAGCTTAAATGTCACTCCTCAGAGGCTCCCCTGAGCACCCTGTCTGAGGGAGGCACCCTCATATCACCCCAAGTACTCTTTCCTGTCCCCCGGTTTATCTCATAGCTGAAAGGCATTATAGCTACCATTTAGATTGTTTTTATTTATTTACTTGCTAATTATCTATTGCTCAAAGTTGAATCTTCATGAGGGCAGGCACCCGGTCCATTTTATTCACCATTGTAAGCCCTAGTACCTTATAGCATATAGATGTATAATAAATACTGATTAAATAAATGAATATTGTATTTTGATTCTCAACTGATTCCTTGCTTGCATTCCCAATTAGTTAAGAACCTGGAAGGGGGGAAGAGGGTTCCCCCAAGGTTTCAGCAGGCTTACTGGTGAAGAAAGTTGAATAATGAGTAAATAGGTTTATGTTAAAACAAAATCAGTGGGGACCCTTAAGAGAGCATTTTCAAGAAAATGAAGGAAGAAATGTCAGATAATGGTGAAACAAATGAGAAAAACATAAAGTTAACTAGAGAGGATAGACCTGAAAGGGATATTTTATGCATGTTTGAATAAAGAAGAAATGAAGGAATAATTATGAAAATCATGTCCCCAAGAAAGCAGAATAGGATGGGATAGGGAACCAAAAGTGGAGGACCGAGAGAGGAGGAGAGACAAAGGAGTGACAGGGATGGCTGAGAGACATGGGGAGCTTTTCCTCTGAGACAGCTTTGACCAAAGGTACCCCCCAAATACTTCAGATGCTCTGTTGACCTGTTACTTAAAATAAATCCCATCTTCTTGGTTCTGATTAACTCACTTGCATAGGAGGTTCTTGAAATTTCTTTCACCAGGGCCCATGGTCCTTTCCCATTCTCCAAATAGGAAATCATGTCTGGTTTGAAAACTGCAAGTCCTAGTCATAGAAAAATAAATAGGATTTGATTAGAGCGGTGCAGAAGAACTATTGCACCCAATGCAGTCTCAGTTTTTAATTTTCTGTGCAGAATGGCCATTACAGAAAGTTTTAGAGCTGCACTGTCCAATACAGTTGCCAAAAGCCACATGTAGCTATTTAAATTTGAATTTAAATTAATTAAATTTTAGGCCAGGTGCAGTGGCTCATGCCTAAAATCCTAGTACTATGGGAGGCCAAGGTGGGAGGACCACATAAGGCCAGGAGTTCCAGACCAGCCTGAACAAGAGCCAGATCCTATTCTCTATAAAAAAATGGAAAAATTAGCTAGGTGGGGTGGTGTGTGCCTGTAGTCCCAGCTACTTAGGAGATTGAGGCAGAAGGATTTCTTGAGCCCAGGTTTTTGAGGTTGCAGTGAGCTATGATGATGCCACTGCAGACTAGCCCACACAAGAGAGCAAGACCCTGTCTCAAAAAAATGTAAAATTTAAGATTCAGTTCTTCAGATGGACTACCCAAATTAGCAAGTAGCTAGTGGCTGCCATATTGGACAGTACAGCTATAGAACATTTCTATCATAGCAGAATGCTCTATTGTACAGTGACGTTAGATCATTACAAAGGTATCTCAAAGGAGCTCAACACTATGATCCTGGTTTGGTGGGATAATAGATCATTGAAATAATATAAAATGAATTTGTTCCTTTCTTTTTAGAGGTACTGATAGCTCCTATTTATGGAAGTGGTTAGAAAAAACTTTGGTTCAAAATCTGTGGGATTATCCTAGCACTTTGGGAGGCCAAGGCGGGCGGATTGCTCGAGGTCAGGAGTTCGAAACCAGCCTGAGCAAGAGCGAGACCCCGTCTCTACTATAAATAGAAAGAAATTAATTGGGCAACTAATATATATAGAAAAAACTAGCCAGCATGTGTGCAGCCTGTAGTCCCAGCTACTTGGGAGGCTGAGGCAGCAGGATTGCTTGAGCTCAGGAGTGTGAGGTTGCTTTGAGGTAGGCTGATGCCACGGCACTCACTCTAGCCTGGGCAACAAAGCGAGACTCTGTCTCCCTCCCAAAAAATCTGTGGGATTGTTAACAATCTCCAAGATGCCAATGAAATGTGTAATTCTTGTCTTAAAGTGGGCAGACCATTTGGTTAAGAATAAGAAATAGCATAACTCCCAACAACGTACCCTTAAAATTAAGAGATTTTGATGCCTAAACTCTAAACCAAAATTCAATTAAGTACTTCAGAGGCTCTGTATTTTGGGCAAACCTGGTCTAATGGGCAGGACATTAGCACAAAGATACATTACCCTTACCCAGGGAGACCAGATTCCTGTAATTCTCTAGCATCACTTCCTTGTGCAGGTTCCTCTGTGTAGGGTCCAATAACCTCCATTCCTCCAGTGTGAAGTCTACAGCCACATCCTTAAATGTCACTGTTTCCTGAAATAATTACACTGTGATCAAACAGAGACTATACAATTACACTTGTTAGGCAGACTATTACATAGAAAACTGGGGAAGAACTCCAGAAATCAGAATCACTAAATGATTATGTAGGTAAACCAGTTCATCCCTTATAGGATATAGGAATCTCTCCAGTGACAAGAACTTAAAACCATAAAAGGAAGCTTATTCCATCTTCAGAGTATAACCTGATAGCAGGATTTTTTTTTTCAGGATAGATGTTAATATTTACATCAATGGAAGAGAATTGAGAGTCTATAAATAAATCTTTACATTTATGTTCAGTTGATTTTCAACAAGGGTATTAAGACAATTCAATGGGGGAGAATAGTCTTTTCAACAAACAGTGCTGAGACAACTGGATATTCACATGCCAAAGAATAAAGAATAAAGCTGAATTCTACCTCAGATGATATATAAAATTAACTCAGAATGGACTACAGACCTAAACATAATAACTAAAACTATAATATAAAACTCATAGAAGGAAAGATAGAGGAAAATCTCCATGACCTTTAAATGGATTCTTAGATATGACACCAAAAGCATAATAGACAAAAGAAAAAAAACCAGATAAGTTGGATTTCATCAAAATTAAAAACTTTTATGCTTCAAGGAACATCATTAAAAACTCAAAAAGACAATTCACAGAATGTAAGAAAATATTTACAAACCATTTATCTGATAAAAGAGTTGTATCTAGAACATATAACGAAACTCTTACAACTCAAAAATAAAAAGATAAATAACTCAATAAAAAATGGGCAAAGGACTTGAATAGACATTTGTTCAAAGAAGACACACAAATGGCCAATACAGACATGAAAAGATGCTCAAAGCCGTTAATCATTAGGAAAATGATAAGATGCTATAAGATACAATAAGATACCATTTCACTCCTAACAAGATGTGTATAATCAAAAAGATAGACATTAGCAAGTGTTGTTGAGGATGTAGAGACAGTAGAGACATCGCATCCCTCATACATTGCTGGAGGGAATATAATATGGCATATCTGCTTTGGAAAACAATCTGACAGCTCCGCAAGTGGTTTGACATAGAATTATTATATGATGTAGCAATTACAATCCTAGGTGTATATACCCAAGTGAAATGAAAACATGCTCACACAAAAACCTGTACACAAATGTTCATAGCATCATTATTAACTGCCCCAAAGTGGAAACAACTCAAATATACCTCAACTGACAAATGGATAAACAATATGTGGTAGAACTATACAATTGAACATTATTTGGCCATAAAAAGGAATGAAACACTGACACATCCTACAACACGGATGAACCTTGAAAACATTATACTAAAGTGAAAGAAGTCAGTCACAAAGGACTATATATTATATAATTACATTTATATGAAATGTCCAGAATAAGCAAATCTATAGAGACAGATTAGTGGTTGTCAGAGGCTGTAAGGAGGGGGAATGGAGAATACTGCTAATGGGTATAGGATTTCTTTTTGGGGGTGATGGAGAGTTCTGGAATTATCAGTGATGGTTGTACAACTCTGAATATATTTAAAACCCACTGAAATGTACACTTTATGGATTTTATGGTATTACCTTAAAATTATTATTAATGGTAATATTTTAATAAATTATTATTAAAAATACTTCCAGAAAATAATATTTTTTGCTTCTAAGGGGAAAATCAGGTAAAGAAATAATCATGAAAAAATCAGAAAGTTGTGTTATGTGAAGAACAAATCAGGCTAGATGCAGTGGCTCACACCTGTAATCCTAGGTGTGAGGAGGCCTCTGGGAGGCCGAAGCAGGTGGATAGTTTGAGCTCAGGAGTTCAAGACCAGCCTGAGCAAGAGCGAGAGCCTGTCTCTACTAAAAATAGAAAAAAAATCAACCGGGCAACTAAAAATGGAAAATATTAGCTGAGTGTGGTGGCACGTGCCTGTAGTCTTAGCTACTCAGGAGGCTGACAGGAGGATCGCTTGAGCCCAGGAGTTTGAGGTTGCTGTGAGCTGGGCTTGACACCATGGCACTCTAGCAGGGCAACAGAGCGAGACTTTCTCAAAAAAATAATTAATTAAAAAAGAACAAATCAAATGCTGTTATAGAATGTGGAAGTGAGAATTAAGCCTTGAAACACAGTCAAACAATGGAACCTTCCTTTGCCATGTTGGATAACCCTTAGACAGGCTTGTGAGACAATGGTCTAATATGACAATGAAATGGCATATGTTTATCTTTTGCCTTATTTCTAAGTTTTGGATACTTTTTCTTAACAATAAATTTTTAGTTTTTATTTTTTCTAGAAAAATCAAGTGTATTTTTCTAGAAAAATCAACTGTACTCACAAATAAGAAAGTAAGCTTTACAAATATAATGAAATAAAGTATCTAAACCAATTTAAACCCATCTTAAGACCATATTCACCAATGTTGACATATTCTTGATATTTTTAATAGTACAGTATTGGGTCTTACAATGCAAAGCAAGAATCGACTATGATAATAGGATACTTTGTCCTTAGCAATTATGATGTTTTACTATCCACCAGATTAGGGCTGCCACCTCTGAGAGAAATGAAATTTGTTAGGTTAATACCACAAGCCCTGGGAATATCACATCTATCAAATATAACATTAATTGTGAACTTGCAATTAACTGGCAACATTAAGAATTAGGGGAAATAAAAGAGGCATTTTCTCTTTATTTATCTCACATATAAGAGCTTAGGTATTACCTTTACCAATTCTGTTTCTTTTTCCTGAAAGTGAAGATCTTCATCTTGCTGGGTAACTTCAGAACTCTAAAGGGACACAGGATAAGAACACTCAGTGAAAAGCTGCCTATGACCTATGACAGAGCCTCAACAAGCGCCACCAAGCCACATGGATGTGGTGTATGTTGGATGACCTCTTTTATGGTTTTACTTAGGACTGAAATTAAGGTCCTATGTAACATTCAATTATAATCCTCTTTCCCCTTGTTTGAGACAACGACAAACACAGACATGATTGAACAAGATATAACTGCATGATTTTACAGGCAGCCTTTAACAAAGAACCTATCAAAACAAAAGTAAACTTATAATAAAGGCCTGTCAGACACTTCACAATTCTGCTTTTTCATATGGGGATGAACTCTATTTCTCTGTTGGTATCTATCTTGCTCAAGAATAATATTCAAAACCTATTAATATCATCTGTTTTCTGCAATTGAAAAATTATTACCGAGTCTAGGGGGGACACAATTCAGTAGTCTCTCAAGAAATATTTCAGCAACCCCTCATAACACTGTTTTCTTCCAAACCTTAAAAACTATATCTACATGAAGGCCTGATTTCATAAATAAAAAGAAATTTTATTTTACCTTCTAGTGGTGGTTATGTATTCAGATTTTGTCATTTAAAAAATTATAGGCAATAAAACTATACACTTAAATTTCATTAGGAAAAAATGTTATCCTAGCTGCTCCCTCCCAAGTCTTTGTCTAAAAAAGTAAATATTCAGTTTCCAGAAAATTAATGCTGATATGAACCCTCAATCTCTGGTAATTAAGGATGGGCTTGATCAGGCTGTGATATGTGACTAGAAAAATATGGGTGAACCTAGTGATCAAGTGCCACATTTCATAATTTATCTTTTCAGGGGTATGCTTTAAGGACTATTTACATGTTACACACTCTGGCTACAAAGAATAAAAGATCACTACTACAGGTTATTACAGATCATTACAATATATATTGCAATTATATTTGTTGGTATTACCTTTCTTCAGAATCCCCTATTTCAAAAAGTCACTGCTAAAACACAGCTTTTATCACATTAATACTCATTCCAAATACACTCAATCACACATACATTTAAATTTCTTTAGGGAAACATTAAAAGATTCATCTTAAATATCTAATTTCCAGCCCTGTCACAACTTTCCGATTTGAATCACTAGCTCACCTACTGTTCTCTGCCCCTGAGCTTTGCCCTTAAACTCCTTTTTCACCTGAAGTATCCTTACTTTATGTCAATTTAAATCCCCCTTCTAATTGGGTACCAGCTTAAATCTATCTATCCTCATGAGTTTCCTGTGACCACACTCTCGTCCCTTCTCTTTCCTTACATAGCACTCATAATCTTTATCATACTGCTAAGCAACTACTATTCACCTGAATAGATTATGTAACTATTCTTTTTGTATGCCTTACCTCAATGGGACTGTAACCTCTCTACAGCCATGCCCTGTACCTTAAACATGTTCTTTCCCTCAATGTCATCTATTAAGTTTGATCACTTCTTAATGAGTAGAAAAGAGGTCGCTGAGAGTAGCACTAGGGGAATAGTCCCTACGAATTAGGGTTAGGGATGTGTGTGTGTGTTTGTGTACATATTTTTTCCCCCAAAATTTCCTGAACAAAAATTTCCAACTGAAAAATATTCCATTCTGCTACCCCATAAATAACTGAAATTTTCTGGGAACAATACAAATTTAACATCAAAACTGAAGATGCCTATCATCATTAAAGACAGCCCAGCTATTTTTGGAAAGATCACATGTCCAGATATTTGGTTCAGTAAGTATAGTGAGTCCTCCTATAGATTACAGCCTTTATTGTGATGAATCCAATTTTCATGGGTCAATTTGGTTCAGTTCCTAGAAGGGGTGTGCATAAAGTAGAAAGTCACAAGACTTCAGGAAAAGTAAACACACTCTGAAACCAAAGCAGCAGGTTATAAAAAGAGGAAATACCAACTTACCTGAGGTCCAGCTGAAAAAACCACAGCAGCCATAATGTCTGCCTCTGTGTCCCCCTCTCTGGAAAGAGTGGAGTCTTGCAGAGACATCTCTGAGGAAGAGAAACAGGCCATGAAAACCACTCCTGCTTTGGGAATTTCAGACTCACCAAGTTAGAATCCTGACATACAAGTGAGCACGACCTCCCTAAGGAAACACAAAAGTAACCCCCGAGATCAGTGAAGGACAAAGATCCTTGCTCCTGGAGATCTTGATATTTTAATACCGTTAAATGTAGTCACGACTAGCAGGCCAGACATTGTACAAGGAGCCTTTAAAATACTTTCTCATTTAATCTTCACATTAACTCAATAGGAATGGTATTCCCATTCCACAGATGAGGAAACTGAAGCTAAGACAGATTAAACTATTTACCCAAGGCCGTGAAGATACATGACTCCAAATCAATCTAATTCCAAAGCCTGTACTTTTTCCACTAAATCAACATGCTGTGTGAAGTGAAAGAAAATGATTCAATCTTTGCCACAATCACCTACTAATCTAACTAATATTCTAAAAATCTTTTTCTGTCTTTTCCTGTGAAAAGTCAATTTCCTAAAATTTTCAGAGACCTCAGCTTCATATAAGGAAAACATTACAACTTCAAAATTTAAATGATATTAGAAACCCTGACATGTCCTCCCAATCTCATATTCAAATAGATATTTATCCTTTCTGTATCAGGCAAACTTAAATAAAAACGAAGCAGGGATAAAAACAATAATAATAGAAGGGATATGAACTTCAATGCACAATGCATTAAGCATTAGTCCTTTTATATTAAAAAAAGTACATGGCTAATACAGGATTTATACTGTGGAGAAACAGGGTGGCAGAGACTTTATTCAGGTATGCCTGGGCACTGGTCCTGCTTGTCTAACTTTGACAAGAGATATACTGCTGCTGAGTCTGGTGCAAGAACCAGGGTGCCTGATGTATGGTATTCCCGTATACCAATGGTACAGACTGTTAATATAAATGCTTCTATAGCATTAGTCTCATAAAGGGCAGTGACATAATAAATATCAAGTTTTTGAGAAACTCTACGTTGTGCAAAAAGTGTTACAAGCAACTATACGGCCCTTCAGTGAGGGACTTTGTTATGCTTAAACATGCTCAACCCACTCCTGCACTGAATGTGCACCTTGCTTCCCATAAGGTTCAGCAGCTTTTGCTCAATAAACACAGCAGGACTTAATCTAACCTTACAGTTTATACCAATCAGAAGATCATCTGAAATGATACTTGCAGTACTTAACCATTATCTTCTGAAAAAAAAAAGAATATTAATATTAATATAAAAGCAAGGCTGTCATAAATGCAAAGAACATTAGAGATACCAAGAAATGAGACAGATATGCGTAGAGTGAAACTTATACTGTGAAAGCTGCCAAATTAATTTTCTAACTTAAAAAGGAGACCAGGGTTCAGTTAAATCAAGAAAATACGTGAGAGGGAGAAGCAAGATGGTGGATGAGAAACACTGCCAGACAGTGTCTCTGCTGAAAAGACAGATTCTAGCAGAATTTAGAAGAAAGAAGCAAGAAGACGAGCAAACACTGGACAAGGATCAGAAGAAGGAGGGGTACCTGAGACCACAGGAGACCCACGGGAGGAGGTTGCAGAGGAGAACTGGAAGCAGAGACCTCTGGGGCAGCCCGGAGACGAGTGGCAAGGGTAGGTGAAGTGGTTAACTCTCCCCTCCCCTGCACCTTGGACTGCTGGTAGGCTCCCCAGCTGGTGGAGAGACCTGCAGACACCAGCCCAGAGATGGCCGCCGCCAGCGAGTGGTAAGCCTGGAGCGGACGCGGCACCAGGCTCCCAACTCCCGCAGGGCACCTCCATGTGCACAGACCCGAGCCGCGCGGCAGGCGCCATATTGCCTCCTCCCCTCCCCCAACCCTACCGGTGGCTGCCGAAAGGGACAATATAGCTACCAGCCGGAGGCACCTCCAGGGAACAGACCTTCACTTTTGGGGCACTACAGCTGACTGAGGGGAACTCAGATGGTGAGCTCCCTACCCGCCAGCCCTCCCAGGTGCTGCTGGCACGGTGATCCCAGGAGAACGGGACAGACCCTGAGGCTGAGAGACATAGACCCAGCTTGGGCTCCCTGTGGGTGAATTGAGACTGGCACTCCTCTCCCTGGTGGGGATAGGGATTGAACTCTGGGACCCAGAGGTCAGACCTGCAGACCACATCCCGTGCACCCAGGTCTCGCATTGCCCAGGGCGCAAAAGGGATATACGTGACAGCATACTATGGTGTGTGTGCCTTCAGGGGCAGATCAGTGTCCTAGAGGGCAACCCTCCCCCCAAAGGGAGGCCGTGTGCCCAGCCCAGGCGGCGTTCTTGCGCAGGGAACCTCCTGGCCGGCATCACAGCCAAGGGAGGCCTGGTGGCATGAGGTCTGGGCTGCTGGTAGAGGCCCAAGAGTAGCCACGGAGTTGGGGAGGGTGGAAAGGAGGGAGGCCTGCTCCAGACTGTGGGTCTCAGACAGCCCCACCCCCACACGCAGACTTTCTGACTGAGTGGGGCCATTCCAGCCCCTCCCTGACAGCTTTTCCTGGAAGCAGTGAATAGAACTTTGACCCCTGCTAACGGCATTGGTGGTGCCTGAGGGTAGGCTTACCCAGCCCAGCTCTGTCCAGACTCTCTCCTAGACCAGCCCTCACTGAGGGGGAGAAAAGGACACACCTGGAAGTCCCAGGGCCCCACCAACCACCTGAGGCACTAGAGTGCCTCTCTAGAGGAACAAGAGCTGATAACAGGACACAAAAACAACAGCATAGCCTGTTCCTCGGAGCAAGCGCCACCTACTGACAGGGAGGACATTCTGCACACCCTTTTCATGGCACCTACTGACGCATCATACAGGGAGTGGTCAAATCTCACCCACAGACACCACCTACCAGCTCAGAAACTAAACAAGGCATGTGAATACCCAAACAAAAACCTAAAGAAAAGAAGAAACAACTGATCGACACGGGAAGAAATCAGCAAAGGAACTCCGGAAATATGAAGAACCAAACGGAAACCACACCCCCAAAGAGGAGCCCCAGCCCCTTAGAAACAGACACAAATCAGAAACAGAAACAGACCAAAATCAGGCAACCAAAATGACAGAAGAGGAATTTCGAATGTGGATCCTAAGAAAATTCAATGACCTGCAAGAACAACTCAATAACCAACACGAAGAAACCACAAAAAGCCTCCAGGACCTGGAACAAAAGTTCACTAAAGAAATCGACAGTATGAAGAAAAGTTTAACTGAACTCCTGGAAATGAAGAATCAATTCAGGGAACTACAAAATACAGTGGAAAGCCTCAAGAACAGTGCAGATCAAACAAAAGAAAGAATCTCAGAGATTGAAATTAATACCTTCCAATTAAATAAATCAGTCACAGAGACAGAGCAGAGAAACAAGAGAAAAGAGCAAAGCCTACAAGAAATGTGGGATTATGTGAAGAAACCCAATGTGAGGATCATAGGGTTACCAGAAGGGGAAGAAGAAAACACCCAAGGGTTGGACAAGCTTTTTGAAGATATAATACAGAGAAAGATCTTCACCGGCCTTGCAAATCTCATTATAAAACAAAATTCAAATCACAAAGCCCATATTAGGAGAATCAAATGCAAATAAAAAAAAAAAGAACTTTAACGGGAGCAATGCAGTCATCAGACTGCAAAATATTCAACTAGAACTATATCAAGAACTGGGGTAAAAGATCAAATAACAGGAAAGCCAAATCACATACACAACTAGAACTTATCTATACTAACTAAGGAGAGGGACAACAAAACAAAAGCAAGGAGGACTGGGGGGGAAGAGGGGACACCACATTCTCACTCATACTAAACAAAACAAATGCCCGACATAATTATTACACTACACATTTTAGTATAAGGTAGACATCCAGTCAAAGACATCCAAACAAGACCAGCCTTTCCCAGAAGTCTCAAGACAAGTGGATTACAAAAACAATACATTGGGGAAAAGAATCCTTATCAAAATGGTTCTGGGAAAACTAGATACCACCATGTAGAAGATAGAGGCCACCACTACTTTTTCACACCACAACCTCGGTGCTAAAGATTTGAACCCTTAGGTGTGAAACTATTAGAATTCGTAGAGGAAAATGTCTAGAAATACTCTTCTAGACATTATATAACAACATTGACACAAATATAGAAGAACACACAACAAAAGGACATCACACACATCCACGATCAAATTAAAGGCTCGACACAGACCAAAGAAACCATCAAGACGAGCAAACCAGACAAACCACAGAAGAGGAAAATATATAATTTGCAAGTCCATCCTGATAAAGGGGACTGACAACAGAATTCTATCTTGAACCGGGAATCACAAGAAAATCAACAAATCCAATCAAACAAGGACATACAGAAACTTCTCCAAAAGAAGACAGAATAAATGGCCTACAAACATATGACACAAATGCTCACAATCTCCTAATCATCAGCAGAACACTGCCAAATCAAAACCAACAATGAGATATCACTTCAACCCCAGCTGGAATGGCCTTTATCCAAAAGTCCCCAAAACAACAAATGTTCTGGGCCTGGACATGCTGGAGAGGACTAGGACAAAACTCCTACACTGCTGGTGGGGAGCTGCCAAACTAGCTTCAAACCTCTGTGGAAAGCAATATAGAGATACCTTAAAGCGATACAAGTCCGATCTAGCCATTTGATCCAGCAATTCACTACTAGGCATCAGTACCCAAAAGATCAAAAGCACCTTTATGAAAAACACTGCAACTGCCGAATGTTTATAGCGTCACAATTCACAATTGCATAAGCGTGGCAAACACCCAAGCTGCCGCCCAATCCAATTCATGAGCTGGCAATTAATAACAATGTCGGTATAACCTGTATATCCATCGGAGTACTACACTCCAGGGCTTTACAGTAACAATGGTGATTAGGCCACCTCCTTGTATATTACCTGGATCAGGCTGAACATTCATTTCTACCTACAAGTGAAGTACATCTCCAAGAATCGGACACAAACAAGCACCACCATGTACTCCACCAGCCAAATTGGTACATTAACGGATCAACACCTCAGTGGCCCATATTATGATAAATCCACATTTATCGGCGTCTGTGCGGGAGGGCGTGGGAAGGGGGGACAGAAAGCGGGACATGGGTAGCATACAACCACCCAACCGAGTAAGCGCCATGTGCACACACATTTGGGGACGGACACTGCTTGAAGCCTCTCACTACCAGGGGCATGGGCAATGATATGTAACCTTTAACACTTGTACCCGCCCATTAATATGCCTAACCAATAAAATAAAATAATAAACAAAAAAAAGAAAAATTATGGTGAGTAGTCCCTTGTTCCATGCGACACGTGGAAGTTTCGGCTAGTATAATCGAAAACCTTTCCCGGTGGGAAAAGGAAACCAATGAGAAGCTGAGGGAGGAAAAATAGTGCAGTGTGGAGGTAAGACTTTGATAAAGAAAATAGAGGAGATTCCTTTATTGAAGCCTCAAGGTTGTTAAAATATACCCCAACAGACAAAATAGACTCCCTGTGGCTAAAATGAGCCACACCAAAAGCAGAGTCTAAAGGCTAGCAGAGTTAGTCAAGTATCCCTCTGTTACTAACTGCCATAAGGTTTCCTTCCTGTAGTTAAGCAGGAACCAGCTATTGCCCAAACAACTACAAAATTTCCCAGCTGACCCCAACAGATCACCTGATACCAGCAGCTGAACCTTCCCCCTACACCTTGCGGTCTGGCCACAACTCTGATTGGACAAAGGACTAGTCTTACAAACATTGTTTACTGATACATAGCAGCCAGACCTAAAGCCAGTTTCAGCCAGCTTACGGAGACTGCAGGAACTGTCTTTGTGCCCTGTAGCTTACTTTTTGATGTAAAGAGCCAAATTCCACCTCATTTTAATGCTAAAACCTCACCCTGAAATGAATATGGAATATATGTTACATTATGCTTACCCATTGTGTACTGTCTGACTTCCCTCATGAATATTCATAGATTTCCCCCCAACCCTGCTCAATATGTATGCAAGGCTGACCCTGTGAGACATACAAACCAGCTTCCCCATCCCTTCTGGACATGCAGATTGTTCTCCTTCTGAAAATAAAGTTTTCTCTTTTCTTTCCTCTGTGGATCTCATGGTCTTACAAAAGTGGTTTTATCTTACACTAGTGTTTCTCTAGATTTATTGTAGGTCATGGATCCCTTGCAAATCTAATGAAAATTATGAATTCTCTGCCAGAACCCCCTCACATATAATTAGAGGGGTCTCAAATCTGAGAATGCAAAAACTACTTAATAGAAAGGAAATTCTTTGGCTCCATCCAAGATCTAAATCTAGATCTTTACTCTAGGTGTGAGGCACAGAAATCTACAGTATCAACAAGAACCTTAGTTTTTTTTTTTTACCTTAAATAGTGTCCTAAAGTCAACTCCTGAACCTCAAATTAAAACTCTTTACACACTTGAAAATCCAATTGAAATAT